AGCTCTGTTTTTTAGTATACCAGTGACAGCCAAGTGGCCCAGAACTGCAAAAGACAAACGACATGTGCAAAAGTATGCAGACACCCTTCTTATTAGTGAATCCAAATACTGACTAATGCTCTTGTGGCTGAATGCAATCAAATCAGCAATGTTCCTACATTTAGTGTAAAGCCTTCCTAGAAGAGTAGAGGCTGTTACTGCAGGAAAGTACATTACATTACAGAGTAAAAATAAATTATGAGTGTCTCAGCTTATAAACCAGTTAGAAGAAAGCGCGGTTAAATTTAAATGATTGTGCTCAAAGCGCCAGTTAAAGCAGAGCAGCTCCCGTTATAGCCGTTACAGCCATTAGCTGAGTGCTAACCTAGCGAGTCCTAGCTAACGTTAAACAGGTACTGTGTGCGGCTGTTTCCTTACTATTTTGTTGTTCTAGAATAAATGGCGAATATTTATAAACTAAAAATCTATTGCATAAGTTTTTGGTAAGTGTCTGTTAGCTAACGTTAGTTAGCACCGGTGTCAACCCGCCTGGTTTACTGTATAAAGAACGGCTGTGTCGTAGTTAGTTTTGCTGATATTGGGCCACGTGATAGAGGCAATCTCGCTTTCTCCATAAACTCAGGACAATAAATCCGCCTCGCTCAGAATAGTTTTCACTTCCTGTTGTTGTTTAGACTTTAGCTACTAGTCTAAACAGTGATCTGATCAGACTGCAGTGGAGTATGAGGTTTGTTTGGCTCACATGAATTAAGAGAAGAGCAGCACTCGAGTTTGAAACGTCTTGTAATATTCAGATCATCGTTCAGTCTGACTGTAGAGAAAACTGCAAACTGTAAAGTCACCGTGTCTGGATTTACACCTACCTAAAATGCCATAGCAACATTACATTTACACCACCATCTCACCTTACAGATAAAACATCATCACAGAAAACAGCCTCTCTCTCTCTCTCTCTCTCTCTCTCTCTCTCTCTCTCTCTCTGCCTTGTGCCATTAGCTGTTTAAATGTCAAAGTAAAAATACATTTCTGATTGTGTATAAAGTAATCAGTATGACATTAGTATGCCATAGGAATATATCACAGTAAAGAAAATCAGAACTGGATAAACTGCTGCTGTTGCTAATTTTAATGGTAGAAAACTTCCACACGGTGGATTTATATGGTTTGAAGGCTGTTAATATCATGTTTACTCTCTGTAGAAATTGACACCTTTGAATTAGTTCAGGAAGCTAATGAACAGTAGGACTGTCATGAAAAATTACATTATTAATTGAGTAATCTACCTGTTATTTTGACTTAATGGGCTCAATAAATAAGTCACAGACTCTGCAGAGCCTTTCAGGGATTCTCAACTACTTTGTTGAAACAGATAAACTAGGAAGCCTCACATATATATATATATATATATATATATATATATATATGTATATATATACAGCCGTGAAATACATGTACTTTAATGCAAACCTAGTTCCGTTCACAGTTCACAGAAGGATAGCGGAGCGTGCTGTAATCACTGTTAGAGTTTTTTCTCATGTAGTATGTTTGGCTTTAGGTTTGTATGTACAGATTATTTCCAGGAATATTTTCAGGTTGTGATTGCAGGTACACAAAAAAGTAACTCAGTTACTAGAGTAATTTTCCAGTGAATTGCTTGTTTACTCTTACTTGAGTGATTTCTTACTCACACTCAAGTAAATTATTACAGTAACAGTACTCTTACTTAGGTAGGGATTTTCAGTACTCTTTCCACCCCTGCATAGAGGGACAAACTCCCTATTCATACCATTGTTTTCAGAAGAAACACTGGATGAACTTTTGGATAAATGTTGTATTTCTTTTACTTTTCAGACATGTTTGATGCCATACCAGATGCTTATTTTGATGACTGATGGTAGTTTAAATTCATGCACAAGGTGAAAACACCTCTGGAGGCTTGCAGTGGAGGTTAATGGGGCACAGGGTCACCTTAAACATCAAACCTTTCCAAAATATGTCAGTTTTTCCCCCACAGTTAGCTATAGTTATCATGATTCTAGCAATGCTGCCAGATTTACCCATCACTTCTCCCACTGCATTCATTCTTTCCAAAAGCATTTAAATTTTATAAATATAGTTGCTTTTTTAAATGAGTACGCTGCTGGTTTCGAAATGGATATATTTGGAAAATGTAATGCTTTTGCCCTTGTACCTCACTAAGCTTCAGTCTAAGTCTTCTTTTGGAGACTCATTGTTGAAAATTCTGTTGATAAATGATCAGAATAATAAGCTAAGATGAATACAAAAGCACCGCAATGAACACCTGATGGAAAGCACAGAACACATTTATATATTTATATGTGAAAATTTGTGAAAATTATGTGAATATTGTCACAGTTTTGTTAAAGTATCCTCAACATTTCTAAACAGCAATACAATGAATGACAATCAAGTCATTTCACTCCAGTCTTTATAGTCAGTTTTTTTTTATTCAGCCTTCTGAATTTCTTCCTGACACCTGAGATCAAAATGAAGTTATCAGCAGCAGTACTACTGTTTACTGTTCAGATTATAACTATGTAACCTACATCCACACTGCTCCAAGAGCGAGAAATAAGAGCTCACTGTTTCTTTTTTTAAATCAGGTTCAGTTTTCTTAAATGGAAGTCCATGTACCTTAGAATATGTGGTCATGTTGTTCTTATTTGATGTTACATGTTATCCTGGAGCATGCACGGTAATTATACACAGTTATTATGCTCTGAAACAGCATAATAATTTGATTGGATTTTACTTTGTGTTATGTTTATTATTAACACATATAAATGGATCAAATAAGAACAACATGACCACATATTCTAAGGTACATGGACTTCCATTTAAGAAAACTGAACCTGATTTAAAAAAAGAAACAGTGAGCTCTTATTTCTCGCTCTTGGAGCAGTGTGGATGTGGGTGAGGCTGTGTACCCGAAAGGTCTTTAGTGAACGTCATTGGTCAGGCCTTGTACTGCCGTGTAGGTCGCAGCACAGAGTCTTAATGTGCCGCCCACAGGAGGCTTTCTGCAGCCTGACTGAGACTTGGCTCGGGAATCAGGCACCTTCTGCAGGAGTTGGCATTGCTTCCAGAGTGTTAGGGTAACGAAGGGTTGTGTGAAGGTCAGCAGACATATGTGTGAAAGTGCGTGTGTGTGCATGTGTGTTTTTATACATTATAATATTTTATTTGAAAATTACTTGGCCAAATTTTTTGCAAAATTGCCAAACTTTGTAGGTGAAGCCTTCAACTCTTTTGTTTTTGCTGATGTTAAGATAAGAATTTGATTCAGAGCTGTTTGAGGTTTACACAGTTCTTATTACATATCGTCACTCTCCAAAGAAAAGCGAGTGCCTCCAAAATGGCGACAGTACAAGAGAGGGCAAAAACGGTCTTTACATTTAATGTAAAGTGATTTTATTCTGAAATTTTCACACAATGTAAAGAGCAGCTCCTTCAAATGATGAAGAAAACTGAAAAAAAAATGAACAACAAAACTGAAAGAACATGTGTTTTTATTTTGGACAGCAGTGCTGTACCCTGTCCAAATATTTGTAGATACCTGCTCATCATTTTTTCCTGAAAACAAAGGTATGAATGGTTGGTTTGTTACATTAACAGCCTCTACTAATCTTGGAAGGCTTTACACTAGATGTTGGAATATTGCTGTGGAGATTTGATTGCTGTCGTCCACAAGAGCATAAGTGAGGTCAGGTACTGATGTTGGATGATCAGTTCTGCATCACAAACTTCACTCCAACTCATCAAAAAAGTATTGGATGGAGCTCCATCAATCCAAAGAACACAGTTTATCTGCTCTGCAGCCCAATGCTGGGGTGCTTTATACCCTTCCACCTTAAAGTAATTGAATTCACTAATTAGATTAGGGTTTTGGATACTTTTGGATGGTGAACATCTTTTGGACAGAGTAAAAAAATGGAAAGTTTTGTTCTGAATTCATTAATCTGGACACTTTTAAAATGCTTCAACTTCCTTCAAACTCTGAACAGAACTAGCACAATAAAATCCTCTTCTACATTTACCTGCAACAAAATTGGTTTTATATAATTGAGAAAATTGATTTTTTTTTATCTTTTCGATGCTTGGCATTGAGCCATGCATGCCTGCTTCAGAGCATCCCATTCTATTGGCAGTTTCTACAGAGATTAGACAAGCTGTGTGAGCTGAATTCACTAATTAGATTGGAGGTTTTGGATACTTTTGTACAGTGTACATCATAACTCCAGTTAGTTTTAATCATTCATTTTACTTTATTTGAAAATGACAGCAGCCCTTTACACAACTTGTAAATTTCATGGCCAATAGACCAAGGGAAATGATAGAAAATTACTTTAAATAAATTAACAAAATTATCACATTATTACTGTAAGATGCATTAAAAGTTACAGTAGTACATTTTTTCATTCTCCTGAAAACGTATCATTTTAGAAATAAAAGTTTTCTTATGATGCATATGGGTCAAACCAGTATGTCTATACTGATCTGTTCAGATGTTTTCTGTTCAAATCTGTATGTTTGACCCGTAAAATGTCATCATCTATGTTGTGTGATTGTGTATGCTGCCTTGTTTGATATATAATATAGTAGGATTAATGTGTTTTTAAACTATTTTATGGTTCCTTTTAACATCTGCTCAAGCACAGCAGATGAAAATGATTCTGTTGGGCTAACTCTGGCTCATTTACAGTTGTGTATGTGCTGTTTATTAATGGGCACTGTCCCTGACAAATAAATAAGTTAAAATAAAATATGTAATTTGTGCAATAACCAGTTGCTACTGCTGAGGAAATATCTTAAATGTGAAATTTTCCAACAGTAATTGCTAATTAACGTCCAGCTACTGTTGAATGCAAACTACCAGTTTGACCCGTGATCAATGTCAAATTAATGACTCTGTTTTGCTCTCTCTCTTTTTCTCTCTCCCTCTCTCTCTCTCTCTCTCTCTCTCTCTCTCTGTGATGCAGGTCGAAAGTTCATCATAGCGAATGCGCGGGTGGAGAACTGCGCCATTATCTTCTGTAATGATGGCTTCTGTCACATGTGTGGCTACACGCGGGCCGAGATCATGCAGAAACCATGCACCTGCAACTTCCTGTACGGGCCGCACACCAAGCGCCTGGCCATCGCACAGATGGCTCAGGCCCTGCTGGGCTCTGAGGAGAGGAAAGTGGAGATCACACTCTACAGGAAGGACGGTAGGACAGCCATGACTTTCTCCATGACCGGAAGTGACTAATGATGATTTGGATGCTGAGCTCTTGCTCCCTGTGTGTGATTTGTCACATGGCTGCGGTTCAGCGTCTGATATGAGGGCTTAAATGTGTGTTTTTTTGGAAAGGTCTGTGTGTGCTCTGCCTGTGTCCACAGGAGTCGTGTTGGCATTATAAGATTAGACAATGTTTGCTGGCAGGCTGTCTCTGTCTGCTATAGGAGAGCAGAGGGAGGAGACGTTAGCTTAGCTTTTGAGTGTTGTGTGCTGCCCCAGGGTTGGACTCAGGTCAGCTTCTATTGTTCCATTCAGGTACTCAGAAATGAAAGTGCATGCATAATCACATTCCCAAGCCACAGAGAGAGCTGCAAGAAGCCTGATTATTAGAGTGGAAGGGAGGAAAAAAAGAAAGTCGAGGGAGAGAGGGAGCGGGTAAGAGAGAGAGAATGAAAGACCCTTTCGCATGAAGTTGTGTCCGAATGTTTTAGTCATTTCCCAGGATGCAGTTACATGTGATGATGTAACAGTTCCAGTCAAACAGTCTGATTGGTTGAACAGCACCACTTTTTCCACTTAACCTGCATTATTTTACTGACCATTTTTAAGTAACAACAATAGTCTCGACTGCTACTTTTTTGCCATAGTGGTCATGTTATTCAAGATAACATGCTCTCCCTTGTGTTCTGTTACTTAAAAGCGAGCCAAGGTTAAAATGCCAGGAGAAAATGCCTAGAGGAAATTTTTGTTGCTCAGATGTTTATTGCTCTTTTATGGCTCAGGAGAGATAATCGTGATTCTGCTGTATTTCTCAGGAGAAATAGCATTAGAGACGGAGAAAAGGAGACTTCTGGCCCAAATAAAAATGATAATATTTATTCACAGCATCTAAACTGAGAAGGGTCTTAGTCTTGGCTGAAAAATGGCTGAGTTCCTGTCTTAGGTTCAGTTGCAGATGAATATGAGTGTTATTATCTGGGCAAATCTACGCTCAGTGGTAGACTTTATTGGGATCTCTAGAGACACACGAGCAAGTACTGGGAGGGTTTTCTAATCATTGTAAGTTTTCTTACAGTAATCTCATTGTTGTCTATAAGAGACTGCAGAGATATTAAAAAGATCTCTTTTTTTCTTTTTCTTTTTCTTTCAACTTTTTCTTCCTATTAATTGATCTGGCAGTTTATCAGGACAGCAAAAGTTCTGTGGTATGATTTTTATGTAACTGAAGACAGAGAGAGAGAGAGAGAGAGAGAGACTGAGACAGTGAGACAGATAGACACACAGTGAGAGATACTGAGAGAGAGACAGAAAGACAGACACAGAAGGAGAGAGACAGAGTGAGAGAGAGACTATATGAGACAAAGAGAGAGTTAGATGGACACAGAAGGAGAGAGAGACAGATACACAGAGAGAAAATGGGGGAGAGTGATAGTGAGTGAGAGAGACAGACACAAAGTCAGAGAGAGAGACCGACAAAGAGCAAGAGAGAGAGCAAGAGTTAAACACAGAGTGAGACAGAGCGATAGACGCAGACAGAGGCCTGTGGGTTCTTATTATCCAAAGAAAATGTCACTGGTGCTGAAATACAACTGCACAATGAATGATAAGCAATCAATCAGCCTTGTAACAATGCGGCTACATTTTCACCTCATCTCTGAGAGGTTCCTTGCGGAGCAGGCGCGGAGCGCAGCGGTATGATAGAGGGGCAGCAGATGTTTGTCGTCAGTCGATAGATCACGTTCCCTGTCCTTTACTGCCCGAGCGGACTCAACTCCACGCCACCAATCATAGTTTCCACTGTTTACTCTGAGAGCTATCTGTTTCATGTATATGCAGCAGCCACTCTGGCTAAGCTAGCTACAGCATGTAATACGACACAGTTTAGGCAGCACTAATGGCACTTATTTGATCCGCGGCTTTATGGTAGATATTTAGCTTTCTGCTTTTCTACATTATTATTTTTATTTGTGCCAATATACTACTAGAATGTATGTAGTGCTTCAGGCTGAGGTAGCATACTCAGCAATAGACATAGAAATCTCTGAACTCACAACGATTCAATTTGAATAAGACTCTGTAGGAAAGGAATTCAGATTTCACCATGATTTGATTCAATTGAGTAATTTTTGTATGATTGTGAAGAATTTTTTTAAAACACACTGCATAATTACTGAATTAATTACACTTCATCGGAATATAAGCAATAAATAGCATATGCCAAGCTTTTTCAAAATAGGCTAAGCACTTTGTGGAGCACGATTATCACTGATTTATAATCCATTCAAATATTCCAAAATCTCTGCAGCTGAGTCGCTACCTTCAAATCAATGCTTTGTGAAGCACTGAATCATTTTTACACCCTCACTCTCCTACTAGCAAATAGTAATACAGAATATAGGGGTGGCACTGGCAGAAACTGATTTCTTTTCAATGTGAGCCATGTGTAGTGTAGCCACAGGTCCACTGTCACATGTGTATGTGTGTATGATAAGCTTTGGGACACAAGACTGACCTGGCTGTATTTCTTGGGGTCAGCACAGGCTCCGTGAGGTTTGATGGACTGCACTGGGGCTCCGCTGTGTCTTATTGGCTTATGACTTCACCTTCTCTTATTCTGTCTCTCTCTCTTTCTCTCTCTCCGTCTTTATCTGTATCAATCCAGTAAACAGTGTCTCCGGCACTCCCTGGTATTTCCCTTCTGCTAGTCAAACTTGCGCGCAGTCCACCTTAGAGCTGAGAGATTCATCATTTATAAAGCAAAGTCACAGTTCGAAAGTGAAATTTTGAACAAGCTAAAGCTGCAATTTTATTTATAGCCTTTATTATCACTTTTGTCTTAGGCTGTAAGTATGGGAATTTAACCTGCCTGTAGATGAGTGACCAAGCAAAAGCAACCAAACACTCATGTGCTATGCATGTGACAACACAACCTTAACCAATTGCCAGTAAATGAAAAAGTGGATATTCTGGTCTTAATGGCCAAAATAACAGGCTTCATTTACAGAAAATAATCATGATTTATTATATAATTTAAATATTAGTCTGAAAAATTAAATAGTTTCCCCAAATCATTCAGATATAGAACCCCACCCCTCCCCCCAAACATGCACACACGAACACACTTACATAGTGTAGAATCAGACTCAAGTTGAGGAGCACCCTAGGCCTGTGACATTTTGGGAGGCAGGGCAACTCAGTGGACAAAAAGGGCAACCTGAAGGTCATTTACAGCACATTGCAAACACTCTTATCAGTAGAGACACTGTAATTATTTTTCAGATGAATCCAATTGTAGCACTAAGAGTTTTTCCCAGGAAGCCTAAAGTACTAGTTTTACAGCCCAAATAGGGATTTGAACCCCGCTCTCCAGGGGATTTCCCAGGACTGCCTTTGAATCTTTAGCCTTTATCCTTTTTTTGGAATTAACTAATTAACTCACATATTAAATAAATTTGATTTTACATAATAAACTATATTTTACATCCCACCGTTTGTGAAAGCAACCATACACAAAAACTTGTTGGTGTGAGTTCATCCATGAATTTCTCTCTTTTGCACAAAAATACTGCTTGAGTGCTTGTAATGCGCCCTTATGGGGAATCAGAACTGTTGTGGAAAAAATTTGATGTATGTTTCTCAAAATGAACATTAAAATACAAAACTTTTACATGCTGCTTCTGTTTTTGTCACAGTTAAAATACAGATTGTTCCAATTATTGAAAACAATACTAGGACCAGAAGTATTATGATAATATATTGTAGACATTTTATCTCTTTTCATTTGTGATATAACACCTGCAGCTCTATAGCACCAGTGCTACCTGCTTAAAAAATTACATACAGCCCTGCCAGGAGGGCAAAGGGCAGAAGCTCAAACCCCCCTCGGGGTCTATCTGTTCATGTTTCCTTACGTATAATGCACTGTGGGGAATGCAGCACTGCGCTGGTCTCATGCTTTGTAACAAGGGGTTCTGGTCGCTTCTCCGAAAGTGTGGAACGAGCAAAAGGAAATGCAGAGAGATTGTGCGTTTGGTTGAGGAAAGAGGAGGTGACAGGGTCTTTTTCCCCCCTCTCTTCTTCTCCTTCATGCCAGTGCATCCATTCGTCTGGTGAGCGGTGCGCTGGCATCAGCCTTCACCATGATGGATGACCAGCTCTCATGCTCAGTTGTCCTGTCGCTGATCTGACCGGCACTTAATCAATCACTCCGAGGTGGAGGCTCAGCTCCACTGTAGATGCACTACCTGTGAAAGAGAGAGAGGGAGAGAGCATGACTGTGTGTGTGCGCGTCTGTAAAGCAGAGACGGCCCTCAAATAAGTCCATAATTGCCCCTTGGTCAAGGAGGTCACGGCTCATTCATTCAGTTTTGGTATTTGGGTCTAAATGTAAGTGTATTGCTGTAATCCAGCATACAGTAGAGACCAAATCCTTCCCATCCAGTTACCATAGACTTTAGCTGCTTTCTGCTTTCTCTGCCCTTGAGATGATGCCAGCATCCTTTAATGGTTTCCTGGAAGCGTAAAAAGAGTCAGACTCGAGAAGTCCCTCTCGCGTTTAGCAGTGTTGAACAGATTAAATTCACTTTCTTTGACAATCGAACAATCCCAGAATAAGTTTGTGGATGTAACAGCAGCAATAGTATTAGCTCTGATCATTGGTATTTCAGACACAAACCTGATCCTACATCAGTACTCTTGCCCTTACATTCTTAGAAGTTAAAATTAGAGATGCCAAAAAGGGTTCTTTGAAGCAATGCCATAGAAAGATTTTTATTCCACTTTCAAAGGACCATTTTTGGACGCTGCTGTTCAAAAGTTTGGAATCAGCAATATAAAAACAGTTGTTTTATTTCATCATAGTGCTACTACTCTGCAATGTTTTATTTAATTTGTAAGAAGCTATAAAAAATGAAGAAATGTGTCCACAATGATGAACGGAGCTGTAGATGATTCCTCAATGACTGAGAAAGCTGTATAGAGTTGAGAATG